ACTGATTTCTCAATAATGAAGGAGTAAAAATGCAACAGCTTTTACTACGTATATGATGATCTCCTGCTTTCTCTGCTGCTAAGCCAAAAGCACAATGTGGGGCAATTTTTATTTCCTCCAAGATCAGTGTTTGTTTGTTTTTGCCTAACCTAACCTAACCTCTTCCTTGATTCACCTGACAACAAACGGCAGCTTTTCTTTCTCAATGTAAAGAAGTTTTTGCAGTTTTCATCTACAGTCATACCTCGGGGAAAATACGCTTCAGGTTGAGTGCTTTCAGGTTGCGCTGCGTGGCGGCCCGGAAGTAACAGAGCGCGTTACTTCTGGGTTTTGCCGCTCGCGCATGCGCAGACGGTCAAAATGATGTCACGCACATGTGTGGAAGTGGCAAAACGCGACCCGCGCAGATGCACTGTCGCGTCTTACGTTCTGTTTGGGATGCGAACGGTCTCCGGAACGGATCCCGTTCGCATCCCAAGGTACCACTGAACTTCAAAACTGTTTTGGAAGCAGTGTGGCTCAAGTTGTAAGATGGTTGGATGGGATGTGGAAGGCAAACATCTAGGTTCCCTCTTAAGCTCAGCTGCCAGTTCCTTGACTCAAGGTCAAGGTCAAGGTACCCCTGCCCGTACGGGCCAGTCTTGACAGACTCTAGGGTTGTGCGCCCATCTCACTCAAGAGGCCAGGGGCCAGCACTGTCCGGAGACACTTCCGGGTCACGTGGCCAGCGTGACAAAGCTGCATCTGGCGAGGCAGCGCAGCACACGGAAACGCTGTTTACCTTCCCGCTAGTAAGCGGTCCCTATTTATCTACTTGCACCCGGGGGTGCTTTCGAACTGCTAGGTTGGCAGGCGCTGGGACCGAACAACGGGAGCGCACCCCGCTGCGGGGATTCGAACCGCCAACCTTTTGATCAGCAAGCCCTAGGCGCTGAGGCTTTTACCCACAGCGCCACCCGCGTCCCTAGTTCCTTGACTAGACTTCGGTAAATCAATAGATGTACAATAAAGGCCTTTGTCCCACTCATCTGGAGGAGGTGGGGGAGAGAAGACGACTTCTAATGCTCTATCTGGGGCTTCTCATGCACATGATCTAGAATCACAGCATCATGGAACTGCAGAGTTGATCATCTTCTAGTCCAACCCTGTGCAATGCAAGAATCTGCAGCTGTCCCATTTGTGGATCGAACTTGAAACCCTGGCATTATCAGCACCATGCTCCCACCAACTGAGCTATCCAGGCTGAAGAAGCTACAGTCTGTGTGCAAAATGGTGCAGCACGATTGCTGGCAGGAGTGAGACCCTGTCGCAGCTTGGGACTGGTTTACCTACAGGACCACCTTACCCCTTACATGACCACTTGACCACTTCAATCTGTGATAATGGCAGTGTTACATAGCTGCCACAAAATACTCCTTCTGCATTAGTAAGAAATTGATCTTTTAGTATGGAACTCCCTGCATATTGCCATCAGGCAGGCACTTTCACTTTTTGGCACCTTGTAAAAACATTTTTGTTTAGGCAAGCCTACTCAGATATCTAGAATTCTGCCATGTGTTTTAATCTCTGCTTCACTTATCTTTAATTTTATTTATTTTATTTTTGTTTTATATAGCTGTTCTTGACTGATCACTTTATTGTTTTATTCTTTTTGCTTATTCTTTTGTGTGTTTTTTACAATCAAACGGAAGTCTTTTATTTGGTTGTTTGTATTGTTGTATGTTATGCTCACTGTATGTTATGTTCACGTTTAATGAGGGTGGATTTGTGTATTGGGGGGTGGGAGGTTTATGTTATGTTGTAAATAAAATTCCAATAAAATTAAAACTACAATCAAACGGCATACTGTATAAATATTATGAAACAAACAAACAAAGGGTTCAAAAGCAGCTGAGCACGCTGTTTCAATACTTGTAATCTCCTGTCTGACCCTGCAGGGTGCTATAACTCATGCTAGTCAGCCAATGCATAACTAATACATACACTGAGATGTGTGGCAGACTTTCCCTGGCAAGTGTAGGAGTGATCCAGTGAGAGAGGAAGTTGCATACCTTTCCTCAGTCGGTAGAGAATGAGACTCTTAATCTCAAGGTTGTGAGTTCAAGCCACACGCTGGGCAAAAGATTCCTGAACTGCAGGGGGTTGGACTAGATGACCCTCGTGGTCCCTTCCAACTCCACAATTCTATGGTTCTAAGATGCACTGAGAGGCCTGATGGGACACTACTGGTGCCACTGAAATGAAAAGAAAGTCAGAATCTGAAAGGTTTTTAAAGAGGAACCTTTATGATTCCTCCCTCTCCCCTCCACCAAATCCCTCTGGAATTTCTTTCCAAAGGAGGCCTTCCTCACTTCCCACACCTCACAAGTTTGGAAGGGTAACCACCGTTTTCCTGTTGGGTTTTAAACAGCATGTGCTTTGAATATCAGGCCTTGTAGTCATTTTGATACATGTCTAACATGCTCTTCCACCAGACAGTATGATACGTATAATGTACAAATAATGCTATTCTCCTTTTTCATTCTTAGACAGAAAACGTTTCCCACCATATTTAGACCAGGCCCACTGCCCTCCAGCTGTTTTGGACTACAGTTCCCATCAACCCCAGCTGGTGCATGTGTGCAGGGCTGATGGGACTTGTAGTCCAAAACAGCTGGAGGGTGCCTGGCTGGCAAAAGCCGGTTTAGACTGTTATGCAACTAACTTGATCAGTACAAAACCTATCATATAATTTAATACGGTTTTGCAACCCCATCCTTCAGAGGAGACCAAATTTCTACCATATAACAATGGAGGCATTCTCCCCCCCCCCCCCGTTTTTGGGAAGCATTTGAGGCTCAAGAACATTGGGAAACAGAAACTATTCCGGCTCAGTGATTAGCAAGGAATGATGTAAACAGCAGAGGAATAAACTATTTCCAATGCCACCAAAACAGAACCCAAGAAGGATCCACTTAAGCTGCATGCTTAAAGAGATTTGCAGGCCATGCAAATTAAAAGCACAGATCCATAAGCTCCTTGCAGTCACCATTCCCCCCACCCCCCACCCCCAGATGGAGAGGGGTCAGTTTGGCTCACAAAACCAAATCCAGACTTCAGCGCTGCACCTGCCACTTAGAAGTACAGCTTCTTTGAAGCGAGATGTACAGATGGGGCTAAATTCAGGGTCACAGACAAAAGAGAAAAAGGGATAGGTGTTTATTTTAAGGCTTATCTCGAAGACAAGTTAACCCCGCCACAAAAATGCACCAAATAGTTTCTGCATGAAGTTTGGTCACCTTGTGGAATGTGACCGAGTCAGGTTTTTTTGAATTGCAAGAAAATGCAGCACAGCTGGCACTCAGTCGGCGTGCTGACACTAGAAATACAGGCTTCATCAACCTGAATTTGGAAGGGTGAGGAGGAGTGGGAGATGATGCAAGGGAATCTGGATCAATAACCACAGCCTTAGTAACAGTTCTTGGAAAGGATAGCACTGGAGACTGCGGGGTTCAACAAGGCTAGGCATCTTAATGGCAATCCAGTACGGATGCTGTGGTTACTAGGACACTAATTGAACATGTGGCCATTCGGAAGAGCAATTAAACTATTGGGATTTTTGGCATATCATTTTGCAAGCATCACGTAGTCACAGGCACCATCAATCATGCCTGCAAATACGTAACAGAGTATTCATTATGCAAGCACTGGGTGACTTACATGCATGCATGCATGATTTCAATTTAAGCAGTATATTTGAATTTCCATCATCAGGCTTTGGTTAATACAGTGGTACCTCGGGTTACATACCCGCTTCAGGTTACATACGCTTCAGGTTACACACTTTGCTAACCCAGAAATAGTACTTCAGGTTAATAACTTTGCTTCAGGATGAGAACAGAAATCGTGCTCTGGCGGTGCGGTGGCATCAGGAGGCCCCATTAGCTAAGGTGGTGCTTCAGGTTAAGAACAGTTTCAGGTTAAGAACGGACCTCTGGAACGAATTAAGTACTTAACCCGAGGTACCACTGTACTAAAATCCCATACATGACGTAGTTTGAGGCAAAAACAACAACAGATATATTGAGATCCTTATAAACACTTTCAAGATTTTTTAAATAAAAAAACCCCACAGTCATCTTAAACTGTGCCATCTAAAGTTTTCAAAATGAAGTAGACCCTCCTCTTATTTTATTTGCCATTGCTTCTTGACAATTTCCCAGAAGCCCATCCTTCAGTCACGACTTCCCCACCAAAAAACCCGAAACTAGCCTGTTAGAATGAGAAGTATATAAAGCAAAGAAAAAAACTCCTGGTTAACAAATGCCTGTCAAAACAAAAACAAAACTACCAAACTTGTATTGATGTATCATTCTGCCTTATATTAATATGGGAAATGGAAAGTACTTCCCAAGTCAGAGTGCATGATAGTTGACTAAATATCCACAATGCCACAATAAATATACTGACACTGTGATCCTAAGTATATCTCCTTGGAAGCTTGTCCAGCTGCTTTCACTGGAACCAACAAGCAAACAAAGGCGCTGAGAAATGTAGCCTATGTATATCTTATATAAAAACTCTGGGCGTACTCCCACATTTGGCTCTAAACTATGATTGAGAAAATTTCAGTCCATTAGAAGTTATGCTATCGCTTTTACTTCCCTTTACTCAGAAACAGTTTCCAAGGCAAGTTATCATTTCTTTAATAAGGGTTTATGCAGCAGCTTCTAACACTGAAACAACTTTTTGCATTTCCTGAAACAGACTACTGAGAAGCTCTTTTAAAATGCACCAATTTAGACTGCTATTGCAAACAAACAAACAAATAAGCGATATCAATTACCGGTATTTGCTACAATCTTTGCGTACTGAGTTTTATTAGTCCCTTAAGTTTGGGATTTCCCATTTGATTACACTACCAGCAGAGCACAATACTGTCTTCCTAACTCCATGCCACCTTCTAGGCTAGTGTAAATCACCAAAAAGGAGGCATCCCAAAACAAAGGTGTGAGAATTACCTGCAAACACCTGGATGACCAGAAGGCTGGATTGGCTGCAGTAGGACCTGAGGTCTAGGAATGCGAGTCCTAACAAATCCAGACCTGCCATGCTTTCCAAATTTATCCATATTCCTTTATACAGAGTACAAATTGCTCTTCTCTTCCGAGAGAAACACCAACCACCAGTCCATCTGTGTCTCTCTTCAAATAGTCCCAGAACAGAGTAAGTTCCTGGAACACTTTTGGATTGTTGAGCAGCTGACTGCAGCAAACGCAACAGGGCTGCAGCACCACCCAGTCACGTCTCAGGAATGCTGCTAATTAGACAGCAAATCCTCCTCCTTCTTCTCTCCTCATATACGGCAGGGTGAGAACGGAGAGATAAAAATCTAGCCAGCATACCCATGACTTCGGTCCAAGAACAGTCATCAGCCACCTCGTGCTTGGAAGGCTCATAAGGAAGGCACAAGCTGGAAATGCAAGGCTTTACCAGTGACAGGCGAAGCCAGCAGAATCCAAACTTTGACTGCTTTGGGGCAATCTCTTGTTGGCTGCGAGGCGGGAACAAAACGGGAAATACCTGTCTATACCAGGTCAATCTACAACCAAGTTTAGCCCCGACAAATGCGATCAGGATACAGACAGTTACTTTTGGTAATCAGACGGAGGGAGTGAAAAGCTTAAATATTACACTTTAAAGGCTCTGGTATGGCTCCAGAAGTCATGCCCACAACTAGAAGATCCAGAAAGACAAGGTTGTATAAACACACACACATTACTCAAAAAGACGGCACAGTGCCTTTGTCTGAAGTCTGCTTCTTCACAATTTGGCCGTGTACACACCATACATTTAAAACAGATTTCTCTTCTCTCCCTCTACCCCACAAAAGTAAAAACTGGACACTGTAGTTTGGCTGGGAATTGTAGCTCTCGGAGGGGTAAAGTTCCCAGGGGTTTTGGTAGGGGTGTACTTTAAATATATGATGTGTAGGAACCCCAGATCTCCTTATGATAAACATATCCCACATGTTTCCAACAAGTCTTTTAAGTGGAGATCATTATCCCACTCTGCATCTGTCTCAGAACTATTTTTAACTGACTTTATAGATTTATTTTTTAAATGTTTGCATTTTTTAAAATAAATGTAATTGTTTTACAAATGAAGCTGCTGCTGCTGCTGTTGTTAATTAAATGTGTATACCACCCTTCATTTGATGATCTCAGTGCAGTTCACAGCATAAAATACAGAATAAAACCACAAAGAACATAACCAAAAACAAAACAAAGCAAAACCACACACCCTCTTGCAAACACATTTAAAACGACATAGACTGTTAATCAGCCGAAGGCCTGGTTGAACAAGAACGTTTTTGCATGACGCTTACAGATGTATAATGAAGTTGCCATTTGTACACTTCTTTTAATTTATGGTTGTAACCATTTTGTTTCAGAATCGTTTTGTTATAACCTTCCCTGGGACCTTATGGTGAAGGGTGGGTATGAAATCTAATAAATAATAGTATGCGCTCGCTCTCTCTCTCTCACTCACACACACACACACACCCCCTCTATGTACAGTGGTACCTCGGGTTACATACGCTTCAGGTTACATACACTTCATGTTACAGACTCCGCTAACCCAGAAATAGTACCTCGGGTTAAGAACTTTGCTTCAGGATGAGAACAGAAATCGTGCTCCGGCGGCACGGCAGCAGCGGGAGGCCCCATTAGCTAAAGTGGTGCTTCAGGTTAAGAACAGTTTCAGGTTAAGAACGGACCTCCGGAACAAATTAAGTACTTAACCCAAGGTACCACTGTATTTCACAAGAGAAGCAACCTTAAAATATGTAAGATGGCACCTTTCCCTTATATCAATGCCTGCTGGTATAACATGACATCTTGTAAATATTTATTTTACCTCTTAATCAGGTGCAATGGAAGGAGAGGCAACTCTCTCACGCATTATATATATATGAGAGAAAGACGGCTCAAGCAAAATCTTTTCCCAACACACCGGTATTTGTTACTTTGAGGAAAGAAGCCTAGTCTGGGTCTACACTGCTAATATCATAGGCTCTTAGGGTGCAGCTGAGAAAGTGGATGGGGAGAAATCTAATGTACTGGAATGCTGCAATTCCTTTTTCAGGTGTAGCAATCTCAGGTAATACTAGAACTTCGGGCTATCCACTGAAGTCTTTCTTGCAGTATTCAGAATGTAAATTTAAGACTTTATATTAAGTATTTAGTCCTCTAGGCAAAGAAAGCCCAGTAAGATCCACAGCCTTAAAACATGCAAGAACAAGAGTTGTAAGACAGTGCGGATGTTATCCTTGCTGCAATTTTCGCAATAGAAAAACGAAAACACAAGTGGGAAAACAAATGCAGCAGGCAATTAAACAGTGAAAAGTCTGCCACTATTTTCTGTGAATCCAAGCACACCCATAACTTTGAAATACTGTGCATACTGTACCTAAGGAAACACAGGATGTTGTATAGAAAGGATAGGCACTTTGCATGCATGGGTGATCATTTTAAAATCTTTGTAAAGCAGGTTCCCAAATATTTCAAATTACTCATGAAACACCTAATAATAGTGCAAATTATGTTAAAACTTTGCATTTTCATAGGGGGGAAAACTTGGGTAGGTTTAACAATGAGAGGCACCTAAAATGCATTGAGTGATCCAAAAGAGGAACCAGTCTCGTTCGTTTCCCTAACAATTCATTACAGTAGATCAGGCCACCTGCTGCTACACCTGCAAAATGTATTGCAGTATGTTAGATTCCTGCGACTTCTGGTTGCGAATGGGATCCATTCCGGAGGCCCATTTTCAACATGAAAACAGCGCAACCCACAGCGGCACGTCTGCGCATGCACGGGTTGCAATTTGCCGCTTCTGCGCATGACGTCATTTTGCACTTTTGCGCATGCACGAGCGGTGAAACCAGGAAGTAACCCTTTCCAGTACTTCCAGGTCGCTGCGGGACGTAACCTGAAAGAACATAACATGAAGCGGACGTAACATGAGGTATGACTGTATTCACAACTTCACCACTCTTCCAATTATACAACAGTGCAATGGGCATTAATTCATTTCTAGATCCAACACTTTCTGGAAAGGCAATTCAAAACTTCCAAGACTACTTACAAATTAAACATCTCTTTCAAATTGTGCTATATGGTTACCATCTTGCCTGGGTCATTCAAATTCCCAAACAAAGCACCCTTGCGTAAATTCTAAGTCCAAAAATTGGTGGCTACTCCAAACTTCCACCACTGAATTATTACAAGTGTCTGATTGTGGGAGGTCTGCTGCAGCATCAATACCTTCTACTCGGCCCTGCCTTTTAAATTCTTCCAATTCCTCTTATTTCTCTACATCTGCTCCTTCCCATCTTAATGTTTTGTTTTTCTAATAAAAAATTTCAATTTGCAAGCCACTCGCAGCATGCAAAGTGTCCTGGAAATAATCATGTCAATGAAACTACACAGTGACTTTAGCAAAGGAACAAACAACAACAACAACAGGAAGAATTTAGGAGTCATTTCACACAACTATTTTGAGATGGAAGAATATTTTCCACAATGCAACATTAACGTCTTGTACATGCTCCCTATTCATTTAATTCTTCTCTGGTTGACTACAGTGGTTTGTGAAACCTTTTCATCATTATTTCTGACACAAACGAACAAGCAAAGCAAGAAGTGTTCGAACGCGAGCAACAGATTATGGGGCTGATTCGCACAATTATTTTGAGGTGGGCGGTCTGCCCTGAGTAAACTATTATTTAGAGGACAAAGTGCTCTTGTGAAAATCCAGTCACAGGACCACTTCCTCACAAATGTCCATGTACTAATAGCAAACTCACTTTCCGAGGATACATTCTTACAGTACGTAATCAAAATAGCAGGCTTAAGGGAATAAAACGCTTGAAGTTTTTTTAAAAAAACTTTTTTGGGGGGAGGAGGGCATTCTAAAGGGAAAGATGCCACCCAAACCCCAGATGGGGCATGCTCAGTGGGCAAAGAATACAGTGGTACCTTAGTTCTCAAACTTAATCTGTTCTGGAAGTCCATTCCAAAACCAAAGCGTTCCAAAACTAAGGCATGCTTTCCCATAGAAAGTAATACAAAACGGATTAATCTGTTCCAGACTTTTAAATACAACCCCTAAAACAGCAATTTAACATGAATTTTACTATCCAATGAGACCACTGATCCATAAAATGAAAGCAACAATCAATGTTTTGTACTATAAAATAAATAAGACATTATTGTAGATGATAAAAATAAAAATGGTTATTTTTTCATACCTGCACTGATGATAGTCATTGTTTGGATGGGGGGCTTTTATCCATTTCCGCAGTCACACAATCAATCAATCATCAATCAGTAGCTGAACTGGGTTCCACACAGTCACAAAAAACAAATTAACCGGAAAAGCCTCAAAAACAAAAACACAAAATAAATTGCTAAAACAAAAGCGCCAAATACAGTTGCACCTTAGTTCTCAAACTTAATCCATTCCAGAACTCTGTTTGACTTCAGAAATGTTTGAAAAACCAAAGGTGCAGCTTCTGATTGGTGCAGGCACCCCGGAAACAATAGCTGACAGCAGCATCAAACGTTCAGGTACCGAAAAACGTTCGCAAACCAGAACACTTCTGGGTTTTTGGAGTTTGGGAACCAAGGTGTTTGAGAACCAAGGTACCACTGTACTGAGTGGTGAGAGAGAACAGAATGGAGTACCATCATGGTATCTGGTGACCGCAGTGGTTTGTGTTTTTTAATGATACGGCTTAACTTGCAAGATATTACAATATGAATAGTGGGGGTGGGGTGAGGTGATGGAAGGGGGAGGGAATCCTCAGAAAACACCTTGTGCAAACGGGTATCTTAAAACTGAGTTTGTAGGGGGAAAATTTAAAAAAATATTTTGTCAGCCAGGGATGGTAGAAGAGTAAAATAAACTGGCAAGCCTTTGATAGTTGGGTAAAAACTTTCCAGCTTCAATCCCATCGTGCCACGCATCTCCCTCCACTTACCCGTGTCAAACGCCACAACATGGATGAGTGTGGTCCATACCACCACAGATTCGGTGCCTGGAAGCCCTATTGTCACTTTAGCCCTGGGTGCTGTTTGAAGAAGTCCAGCGGTGATGTTCCTTCAAAACCGCTTAAGCAAAACATGCAGCAAGCAAAAAGCACTGTAGTCATTGAGGCCTTCGCCTCCTCAATCCAATTGCTAAAAGAGGTTTGGCTCTCCTAAGTGCAGAAAACCTAATCAGATCACACAGCCCAGAGCAGCATGACGGAGCGCATAATGTGCCTCCATATGGAGACTCCTAAGCTGCTTTAAAAGCACCAGCGTGTTATGTGACAAACAGAAGATTAGGCCTTTAGGTGGGGAATAAGCGCACTGCTCTTTAGAAGCAAAGAACTTGTATTTATAATATAAGCAAGTTACTAGCAGATGGAGATGAAGGTGGAACAGGAAAGGCCAGATATATATGCTGCCCACTGGTACACATCTGGCAGATATACGGCTCTCAACTAAAAGCCAATTCCCAACTGGGGAATGACGAAACTCAGCCCACAAACTGAATTTGAATTTATCAAGTTCCCCAGTGGCTCTATCCAATTTAATCAAGGTGTGACAGTTTCACACTTAAGGAAGGGGAAAGTGCTTGGAGAGATAAGAGATTTTCCACACTTTCATGTCACTGTCTCCTTTTGGGTTGTATACCATCTCTCCTGTACAAAGATCCTATGCCTTTTCCAAATAAACAGGTGACTGATGCCAGACTTCCTCTTGAGGGAATCCTTTAAAAAGCTCATTCATCCCTCAGGCTTGAAGGGGAAAGTAGTCATTCCCATGGATCCTTATCAGTGAACTCACTTCACACAAGGTCATGTACTCTGTAAGTGCGAGCCCCTCACTGAAAAATGGCGTCCAGATTATTATATAGCTGAACTATCTTCACTCATGAGAGAACAGGGTTGTAGGGCAGCACACCAATGTGGCCTTTGAACCACAGTCTGAAGAACCACCCAGAGTCGCGCCTTTAAAAAGGGAAGGTGGGTTTGCCT